AAAGCAGCTCAGTGCCTGCCTGGGGACCCAAGCCCTGCAGCCTGCCAGGCTCCAAAACCCATTTGTTAACATGACATACCAATTACTACCATACTGTCTCTCAAGAAAAAAGTTTTAAAAAAAATAAAGGGTAATAAATGAAAAAAAAAAGACACAAGGAAAAAGAAGTCACAGGACTGTCTTGCTACAATGCTGTATATAGTTAGATTTCTAAATTTCTGTGTAAAAATACGTGTTTATTCCTATTTTTTAAATTATTTTTTTCTTCATATTCTGTAGGGACTTAAAGATTAACATATCAATACTTGATGGAAAATACCTGTTCCATGTTATGCCTAAGATGTTTGATATTTAGACAGATACAGGGTAATAATAAGCTTCACTTTTGGAAGGTTTACAACCTAAGTTCACAGATCAAAAATTGGAGAAAAGGAAGGGCTGCAAGGTCAGTCAACATTTTGGCCCTAGACTTTCAAGTTCAGTGAAGACTCAGGATATAGGAGAACCTGTACTCTAACATTATGTAACTCAGTTGTGTCCCAAATTTTCTAATCAAGGAGATTATGAAGCCATGGAGGAAAGTGATCGATGATGTAGAGTGTGCCTAAGGACAGTCACCTGGAGAGAAAACATTCTCTCAGGCTTTCACAGAGAGCAAATTGGTCAAGCAATGGCCATGACTCATCCACATGGCTGACACTGACAAAGGATCTGCAACCTGCAGTACAGGGTTACAAGATCAATCCTGAGGTGACTTGACTGACCTTATCAGATACAAAAGTTACATTTCTTGTTATATAGGTCTTGCTTTATCTTGGTCTTAACCATCCAGCAGAAAAATATAAAAATGAGGTAAAGTAAAGCCATATTAATATGCTGAGCTGCAAAAGGCTCAAGTCAACAACTTCTGTGGATAACCCACTACTATTGTGGACTGCTGGACTGTGTTGGATTGTTTTGCTGAATTCACGTACCTATAGTATTTAGATGCCAATGGAATACCCATCTCTGACAGGACTAAACAAAAAAAGGGGATACAAAGGAAGGACCATTTGTATTGTATATACCTAGTAATTAGGATAGATATACAGCCACTTTTGCTTAATTCAATGAGAAGAAAGATTTGTACTAATAGTGTTTGGATAGGATATCCTGTCTGCGTCTTGTACTATGGATAACCACTAAGAAGATAACAATGTACAATGTATTTATTATTGAAGCTGTCCTATTAATCAGCTTTGAGACTATCTCATTGATATTTGTTTCTCAATAAAATAAAATTTTAAAAAACAGGTGAAAAGCATCTCTTCAGAGGCACATTCACTGCACTGAAAGGGGAAGACAAAGCCATCCACCATCCATCATGAATAATGATACACAAGAAATAATTATCTCTATACTGTTACCATACAATATCAATACTATCTCTACTATCTCATCCTTTATTATCCTCATTGTAATGTATATTAATTGATAGGATAATATACAAGACACTATTACATATTAATTTTAAAGACTCAATTGATAGATTATTTAGAATACACTTAGAATATAAGTATTTAAGTATACAATTATACAGTTCACTGCTACTGGCAATAGCCAGCATCGCCAGTCACTTCTTATTCCCTTATATTCACCATACAATTTCCAGTTCAAATAGTGCTCAGGAATGGGGACCTCCTCCCTTCAATTCAATCACGGAAGAAAACACATTGCTATGAAAATATCCCTAGAGAGCGGTGGCCTTACACTGTGGTCCTCTGCACAGCCAGAGGACAAAGTCCTTGCTCTCTCCCCATGTCCTACCTACTTCTAACCAGTGCACTTGGTGGTCCCAGCCCAAATGCTTAATCAAAGAAAGTCTGGCTAGGCTCAATGTCTCCACACTGAAGACACAAAGAGAAAGAAGCTTGGGAAGAAAAGTCCCAAAGGGTGTGTAGTCTCTCAATGACATTTTAATAGGGAAACAGACACTTAGTTCAAGTGGGATTTGAGGCCAGCAGCACACTGGGTCAGCAGCTCCTGGGAGGCACGAGGTCTCCCTGGAATGTTCGTGTTACTCCTCACCAGGAGCACTAGCTGGTTTCCTTGGTCTCTAGGAAGGACAGTTTCCAGGCCTGCACAGGCTCAAAGGCTGGCCATCTCCAGGAGCCCATCCTCTAGAGAGGCCCTGCTCATGCTGCTGTGTGCTGCTGGTTTTGAGCTTTTGATGTATTTCTTCTCAAGGTTGGAGAGAGGGTGGAAATGTCAGAAGTTGTTCAAGTGTTTAGTTTAATTTGCTTGACTTAGTACACCCCACCCTGAAGAGTGCCGTGGTGATTGAGGTAGTGCAGTACTTACAATCAAATGAGTTTGGGAAATGTGGTCTACTCCTCAAAGACAGAAAGTGAAGCTCAGAAGGTGCTGAGGAGGCAGCCAGGCCCCACACAGGCTGCACCGCGCTCCAGCACTAGTGCACGGCCAAGAGAAGCACTTCGGCTTCCTTTCATCCAGTGTTCACAAGTACTTAAGTCTAACCCCCATACACAAGCCACAAACACAGGACGTATACCACACACACCATGAACACCATACACAACATGTATTCACTACATATGCACACAATACACACCACACAAGCACAAGAAACACACATGCATACACACGTGTATATACACACATACACTGCTTGAGATACTTGTTAATTCTACTGAACACAGTTTGGAAACATTACTGTAAACTGAGATTGAAGTTTTTATTTTATCTTATTATTATTATTTTTTGTATTTTAGGGAAGGGTTCACAGGGTGTTCAGGGTCTCATTACTAGATTAGACTCATAGTGATCCATCTGTTTACAGCCTCCCAAGAGCTGGGATTACAGGCGTGCACCACAGCAGACCTGGGTGATGTTTTTAATAATCACACTAGATTCACCGATTTTGGGTCTGCCTTGTATTACCAATAACAGGTAACTTCACTGTGTCAACACTGCTTTGATCACAGATCTTTTGGAGTCACCATCCCAGTCTCTGACCCTCAGTACTGTGTCAGTGCAGATGTCCACAGCAGTGGACTACAGTTTTGTAAAGAAAGTTATTTGTTTGTCACTTTTTATTTTTATTTTATTGAGAAACAAATATCAATGAGACAGTTTCAAAATTGATTAATAGGACAGTCTCAAAAATTAATACATTGTACATTCTTACCTTTTTAGTGGTTATCCATAGTATAAGATGCAGACAAAATATCCTGTCCAAACACTATTAGTATAAATCTTTCTCCTCATTGAATTAAGCGAATGTAGCTGTATATCTGTCCTAACTATTCTGTATATACAAATACAAAATGGTCCTTCCTTTGTATCCCCTTTTTTTGTTTAGTCCTGTCAGAGATGGGTATTCCACTGGCATCTAAATACTATAGGTACGTGAATTCAGCAAAACAATCCAACACAGTCCAGCAGTCCACAATAGTAATGGGTTATCCACAGAAGTTGTTGACTTGAGCCTTTTGCAGCTCAGCATATTAATACGGCTTTACTTTATATACCTCATTTTTATATTTTTCTGCTGGATGGTTAAGACCAAGATAAAGCAAGACCTATATAACAAGAAATGTAACTTCTGTATCTGATAAGGTCAGTCAAGTCCCCTCAGGATTTATCCTGTAACCCTGTACTGCAGGTTGCAGATCCTTTGTCAGTATCAGCCATGTAGATGAGTCATGGTCATTGCTTGACCAATTTGCTCTCTGTGAAGCCTGAGAGAATGTTTTCTCTCCAGTTCACTCTCCTTAGACACACTCTGTGTCATTGGAAGCAGGCCATCTCCAACTCCCTGACAACTTCCCTCAATTTCAAAGACAGCTGCAAGCCAGGCCTCCTTCCTTTCTTCTCTCCTTCACTCCCTCCCTGCCTGCATGCCTCTTTTCCCCTCCCTCCCGTTTTGCCTTCTTCTCTTCCCTCTTCAAAACTTCCTTTGCTAAAAATGCAGCATCTGTCAGAACTCGCCCCTTTTGCTTCAGAGACTTTTGAACACCACACTACTTCCATCCAGAAAATTATGTCTGTGATAAATTATGCATGGGTGATACTTTGTCAGAGAAGCACGTGAGAAGTGCCTTAGCTTGGAATTTTTGATGAGCACACTGTCTTTGGACCCGGGAATGTCTTTGTTCTCCCTGATGCTTCTCCCTTCTTCTGGAGTTCATGAGGCAATAGCATGTAGCAACATCAGTTATGATTTTCTCAAAAACTAGCTTGTTCCCCTTATTTAACATTCAGGATATTTCAAATCTGTAATTTCCATTTATCTTATAAAGTATGAACCACAATCCTCACATTTTAACTCTTTCTGCTGAAAAGTTTTGTTAAAGCTCAATTTTTTTTTTCTCGAACATTTTATCACAGGTTACCACACACTTCAGTGGTCCACACCTCTGCCCACTGGCACTTCCAGGGGACGAGCACTCGGATAGGCACCTGGATGTCTGGCCTCTGTCATCTTTGAACTTCTCAAACCTAGAAAACTCTCAGTGATCAAATGGCATCATGATTCAAAGCCTCTTTTGGCATGCTTGAGCTCATTTAACTTTAAAAATGCTTTGTTTTTGCTGCTGATCACACTGCCTGTCCAGTCCAGTGGGATTTGGCACAGGCGCATGTCCTTCAAAGCTTCAATGGTATAATTGCAACCATTTAAAGCTGTAACTACCAAATGTAACAAGCAGGTGTACAGAGAAAAGATGGAGAGGAAACCAGGAGGATCTGTGCTGTGGATGTGGCAGAAAGCCTCTAGGTGTCAAAAGGTGGCTATCCCTGGGACTGTACAAGGCAAGGGAAGTACAGAGCGAACAACACACCTTTCTCTCTGCAAGTTATGCTAGGTCACTACCTCGAGCCCCTCATCAACACTTTCTTCACTATCAACATTTAGAAAGTAGCCCACGCCTTGACCAAAGATGAGCCTGCACAGGGCTTCATGAGGCCCCCGTTGTGTTGTGTGGATGAAAGCATGCCAGATGTGGTGCAGAGCATCTGCTCGAGGGCAGCTGGGGCAGAATGTGCAGAACCAGCTCCTGTACTACAGGGCCTCAGCCTTTCATAGTTGAGTGTATCAGCGTCAAGACACAGCAGTGGCTGAACCGCTTCCAGGGCACAACCACGCTCACCAGAACCATCTGGCCAGACACCTGAAGCACAGGAAGAGAAGGAATGGTACGTCTCCTTAGGAATTCACCCCCTCCATGTTTGTCATGAGCAGCTACACTGACTTCAAGCCTGAAAACTCAAGGAGAAGCAGACACCAGGAACCAAACACAACTATGAATTATCTTGTGGGAGGGGCATAATAATTTTCAGCAGTATTAAATAAAGATCTAATCTTTGATGGCATATGTCAAGTCCAGAAATAGATCTGCAGCCATTTACTTGTTGGTTGAAGCTTTAAGCCTTTGACCACTTACATGTATCAGGAAAGGTTAGTATGATTTGCCACAGAAAAGTTTGACCACTGTAGTGATACGAGACAGAAGCCTGACATCAGAAGACAGCAAAGAGCAGGAAATAGAGCCCAAGCTGTCTCTTGGAAATTCCCATGAGCTGGGATACAAGGCCACAGATAACAGCATCTTCTGGAGGTGTCCTTTCTGTTCTTTGATCCTTCAGTGTTCCGTGAATTTAGAGATTGGTGAGTGCCGGAAGGCAATATAGATAGCAGTTTGTTTACAACAAGTTAGTTATGCACATTCCTTAGCCAAATTACTTATGTGCATTCCTTAGCCTCATTTTGGTGGCTCAGGACTCACTTAGAGCAAGACTGAGCTCATGAGTTCTCTGGTTACATTAATCCAGTCTACCTGTTGTTTCTTTTCAGCTCCAACTGATAACATGCAACAGACCACTGCTGATTTGCAAGACTGTTATGCCCTTCTGACCAATGGCAGCATCAGTGAATTCGGAGCCTCCTGTGAGCAGAACAAAAGAGATGGTTGGTCATGGCTGCAAGTGGATTCTCAGCCAGTTCTTCTCCGACCTTCCCACCTGGGATGTGGCTGGCCTGCTGCTGTGCCATCAAATCCATCTCATGATTATCCTCATCCTCCTCACCAGGGCTCTTCACTCCCCATTGCTCTCTCTTTTGGTTTGATATTCTTATGGATGACAACTTGAAACCATGCTTTTAGAAGTCAACTAAGTCCACCTTCTCCTTACATTGTTCAACAGATGTATTAGTGAAGAGAAAACTTGTCCTTGATATTACTGAATTGGTAATATTTACTTAATATTTTACTTAAATATTCTAATAAATGAGGAGAAAGAATGCATAAATCTATAAAAAATGGACATTCTAATGCCTCTGTTGCCAGTATTGATCATCAATTCTGCAGTGTGCACAACTCTTTCCCCCAGGAGTGTCCAGTACAATTCACAGGCAGGCACACAATAAGAAGGACCTGATACGGAGAAAGTGGCAAGGTATCTGTGTGTATGCACAGACACTTTCCAGCTGAAACAACACCATCAGGCAGGACTCACTTCTATCATCAAGAGAAACACCCAAAACCAAACCAAAGCCACAAGCAGACACACACCCTGTAGGACACTTACTCCCCACATTTCACACATTCAATCATGACCTTGCAGGACAAAGACTGCCCTCGGTGTCCCTCAGATGCTGGCTGATTCCCAAGCAGGCAAGTTTGTTCACATTGTTTGCTTTCAATGTGCCTACTTTTTGACTTTTCAGAAGTGAACTAAATGTCAAAAGGTAATCCAAGGTATCCAGAAAGTAGTGAATAAATAAATTCCCAAGTGACAGAAAGTAAAAACAAGAGAAGGTACCATGGCCTCTTGAAAACCATAGATTCTTATCCCAGAGAGAGCAACAGATCAAGCCCTTAATGTATGCCTTCAGCATCTGCCCATGTCATAGGGACTAAAGATATGGCAGCAGATATAAATAAAGAGCAGTTTCGTTGTCAGGGACCTGAAGGGACATGTATAGCAGTGCCATTGCAGCCCCCAACCACGGCTGGTATCACTGTAGGTCTTGAAATTGCCCTATGCATTGCCTGCAGCCCTTCTCAACTGAAGTGCTCTGAGAGCGGCTGTGTAGCCAGGACCCCACTGCTGACGCTAGTCCCTGACTCTTGAGATGAGCCCTCTGCTCAGGGCCAGCCCCATGTGCCTGGCTCTTTGAGACAATCCAGCCTATCCATGAACAAAGAGGACTCACACCCACTGAAGCTTCAGGTAACAGAAGCGCAAAGTGCGGTAAACCAGCATCAGCCATGACCCAGATCCAGTGCACTCAGTCATGACCCCAGGGACAATCCCAGTGGCCCAGAGCTAATCTGAAAAAAATGCTTTCAATCCTTAAAGGTTAAATTTGCAGTTTACACCTTTAAATGCGTTGACACAAATATGAAACCTACAGAGGGCAGCAAAGAAAAAGCCCTCATTTCACCAGCAAAGGAAACAAAGTTCCAATAACAAACCTTAAAGAAATACAAATGTATAAAAGTGCTTGAAAGAAACTTCAAAATAATCAACCTTTTCACAAAAACTCAGTGAGATGTAAGAAAATACAAATAGGCAATTAAATGAAATTTAGAAAACAATACACAAAATCAGAACTTCAGTGAATAAAAACCATTAAAACAACCAGGCCAAATTTCTGAAGGTGGAAGAGTATAATGACAGAAGAGAAAGATTCAAAACAGAACTTCAGTAGTGTACTTGATACTTCTGAGGACTTAAACTGCTAAGACAGGCCAGTTGAAATTATCCAGTTAGAAGGACAAAAATAAAAAGTCTGAAAAGAGATGAAGAAAACATGGAGGATCTACAGAACATGGTCAAAGCTATGAACGTGTGGGTAAGGAAAGTGCCAGCAGGAAAAGAGGAGCTCTCAGAAAGCTTACGGAATGAAATATATTCGGGCAATTCCCCAAATTGGAGGATGAGTGAACTCAAGGACTGCAAGAAAAATTCAAAGAAGATTACTCTGAGTCACCTGCTACTCAACTGACAGAGGCCAAATACAAAGAATCGTGAAAGCATCAGGAGCGAAGAGACTCATGGCCCAGGAAGACCCTCAGAGAGCCATCCAGACTCTCCACAGGAGACCTGAAACCAGTAAGAAGGAAGATGATGATTAAATTATTTTAAAAACTGTCAACCAAGAACATTATACCTAGGAAACTGCTCTTCAGGAGTGAAAGAGAACAATTGCTTTAAATATAAATATTTAAATTCTCTAATCAAAAGATACAGAATATATAGCAGACTTTTCAAATTAAGTGAGCTTATTGGCACATTTTAGACATACATGACGATGCCGCTCGTCACAGTGCGCTTGCAGCTGCGCGTGACGGTGTACGTGACGGTGCCGCTCGTCACAGGGCGCTTGCAGCT